TCAGCTGAGATTCTGCAGACGTGGCTCTGTGTGGAAGGAAGAGCCATCGGCCCCCAACAGGGACGCCTGCCTGAGCCACAGACCACGACATCCAGGCCACCTGTTCAGGGAACGTACAGTCTGTTGGAGGGCAGTGGCCTGGCCGCTTTGCCATCCACGTCCACCCGGCACTTGGTGGGGGGCACACAGCAGCCAGTGCCCGTCGGAGTTTGTGAGAACCAGTGCGAACGTAGCCCCACCCTCACATAGGCCCAGAGAGGGCGCGTCCCTGTCTCAAGGTCACTCAGAACGTGAGTCCTGGGCCACACCTGCGACTCAGGCTGCCGCTCCTCTCTGCTTCCCTGGGGCTGACGGCCAGCTGGCCCATCACGCTGCTCTTCCTGGGTCTTTATGTGAGAAATGCGGTCGCCAAACGGACCGACTTTTCACCTCAGGGTCCAGGGCTGGGCAGGCCTGGGGTTGGGTGTCCCCAGATGGGCCCCTTGTCTCTCCCCCTCCGGGTCGCTCGCCTCTGCTCCGGGCTGGCTCCATGCGCCATGAGGCCCTCGTGAGGTGGCCCAGGACGCCCGTGAAGTCACCGTGATCCGGGCTCGGCATGGAGCGGGGCTCGGTGGGTTTCTGGCCTCCGTGAGAACCAGTCTCACAGCCTTGGTTTCCCGACCTGTGAAGTGTAGAACTTTCTAAGGGAGTTGGAGCTAATGGACTGAGCACCGGCTTTACGCGAGGCACTGTTTTTGACATGAACTCATTTTCATTTTCGTAAAATCACTATGAGCGCGATGCCTGTTTTCCAGCTGACGAAACAGACGCACACTGCTTGGGTTAAGGAATCTTCCCAGGGGCACATGGCTAGGAAGCGGATCCACACTCAGCGGGGCTGGGGGCTGTGGAGTCCGGACTCTGAAAGGGCTCAGAGACGTTGGTCTGCGATCAGGATTTGAACCCTCAGCCACAGGGCGTAGCATAGAGTAGCGCACGGTAAAGGGCGTGTGACAGCTTTCTTTGTGACAGCCACTGCAGGACAGCCATTGCACGGGAGCTGTTGTATGACAAACCCTGTGTCATAGCTGCTGCGTGGCAACTATCGCGTCGTAGCCGCCGTGTGGCAGCTGTTGTAGTGCGGGCTGCTGCGTGTATCTATTGCATGACGGCTATTGCGCTCATTGTTTCCTGTGAGGCCCCAGACGCTCACCTGCACCCCCAGGGCTGGGGCTCAGCAAAGCGCCACCACCCGTACAGCGGGGGGGGCGAGGGAGCTGGAGGGAGTCCCGTAAACATTTGGGGCTGTGCGAGCATCTGTGATCTCGCGGAATGATTCTCGCTTCGGGACTGTGTTGACGCCGATGTCACGGCTGCTCTGAGCACCCCAGATACTGTGAACGAGCTGTTCCAGGCCCAGATGCCATGTGTTCTCACCATATGTCCCCACTGAAGTGCACGGTCTTTCAGACAGGGATGGCGTGGGGCTCAGACACGCGGGACGCAGGACACCGTGTGCGGACGGCCCGCTCCGAGGAGCCAGGCCTTCCAGGCTGCCCCGCTCCCCGACTCCCGGGACACGTTCTCATGGGCACGTCGTGCATTTAGTCATCCAGTGACCTTGGCAGTTGCGGGCAGCTACCACGTGGGCGGGGCCAGGTTAGGCGCAGGGGACGTAAAGGGGAAGAAGGCCTCACCATGGCTTCGAGGGACTGAGACCAGCCGCGAAGGGCAAGGGCACAAATCACATCGTGGCATTAAGGCTCTGTGATACAGGTAGTGTCAAGGACTCTGGGATTAACAGGAGTTAGTGAAAATCTTTGTAATAGAATTAAGAAATTTTTTTTGCTTACCCAGCACCTAAATGCCTTTTCTATTCGAGAAAACTCCCCAAATAGGCAAAGGCCAGGTCCCGTCTTCTATGGGCAGGTGGACTGTGAACAGCTGACATGAGTGTCCACCTCCAACATGGGTGTCCCTTGCATGTCAGGCTCCTGTATCATGATTCCTCGATGGCTCCACTCAGGTCTGTAGCAGACACCTCGTGTAGTGGCACCAAAGTCAGACTTGGTGCCTCCCCCGAAGCCCGCTCTGCAGTCCATCGGCTGCGCTGCTGTTTAACCGTTGGCTCAGGCCAGCCGTGCTGGAGTCGTCATGACGCCTCTCTCTCTCGCACATGCATCCCGCCCTTCCCAAAGGACCACTGGCCCTGCTTTAAAATGCGCCTCATCAGAGCACTTCTTACCATGAGGCACTCCGCACCGCCACCCGCACCGCCACATGCCCCGCCCACACCACCCCCTGTACCACCAACCGCACCACCGCCCGCATCACTGCCGTCCCCAGCCTGCTGTCCCCACGGCCTCTTTGCAGGTCTCCTCCCTTGCCACACTCTCATCCGCTCTCAGCAAAGCAGCTAGAGAAGCCTCTTGAAGTGCGACGCGTGTCATATTCTCTGGTCCAACATTCTTCAGTGGCTTCTCGCCACGTGGAGCATGAGACTCAGCGTCTGTCCCATGCGTGGCCTGTGAGGCTCACCTTGACCTGGTCTCCGCCCACACTATGAACGTAGTTTGTAGGTTTCTTACCTGCGCCCACTCCCCTTCTGTGTGACAGGTCTTCTTTCTGTTCCTCAGACACACCAAGGTGTGGGAATGGGGTCGTGGGTCAGGTCCAGTTGAGAACTCACCCGAAACCAGGAGGGGGCAGGAGGTGGGGGTGAGAAGGTTGGGGGGCGAGGTGTGACACCCGCTGGGAGACGTCGGCCATACTCAGGAGAGACCTGCCTCCGCCAGCTTCCTGCGAGAGCGGACTCCGGGACTGGTACGGAGCTAGTTGCCGGATGCGGAGCCCAGGTGAGAAGCCATTCGGCAGACATTTGTATTTACTGGGCACTTGCTGCCTGCCAGGGCCTGGCGTCAGGCGCCGACAGTGGTGCCACGTTGCTGCTGCCTGGCCCCTGAGCTTAGAGACCGAAGCCTTGCTCATCAGCAAGACCTCGAAAACTGTCTTCAGGCTCCGAGTCTGTTTCCTTCTCTGCAGAATAGTAAGGACACCTGCCCTGTAGATTAAAAATAGCTATTTATGTGATGCCACGAAGAGCTCTGTATGTATGAGACGTGGGCGTTAGTCTGGGAGCCCTGTGGAGGAAGGACGCGTGTCTGTGTCGTTCACCATTACATCGCCATTTATGGAGTGAATGAATGATTATAATGCAGTCACAGTCAGTTTGGGGAACTGCTACTTCATAGCTTTTGAGTGGCCTCTGGACATCTCCTGCCTGGCAGACTCCTGAGTCACTCATGCCACGGCAGTGCGTCTCGGCCTAGTGAGGCAGTCTGACCCTGTGAGCCCCAAGGTCAGGGACGGTCCCAGGGCACACGGTCTAATTCATCTGTAACATGAGGATTGAAGCCATGAGGCTCCTCAGCCGCCCTGTACCTTCTCCAGCACCTTCTCCAGCACCCACCCCCACCCCTTTGCACCGAGCGCTCAGTGAGGCACCCACGTCCTGTCCTCTACACGCTGGTTATCACTGGGCACAGTTCCATCCCAGATGCTTCAGATAAAAGACTCAAGATCCACAAAGACCGTCACAGACTATGGCAATCGGCCAAAGTGAAGGGGATGAAGTTGAACGGCGGGCGTCACATAAAGACAAACGCCGAAACCTAGAAGTGAGTGGCAGGGGACAGGTGAGAACAGAAACCCAGCAGCTTCTCCGGCACGAGAGGAGAAGCAGCAGAACCAGCAAGCAGAGCTACGTCCGCGAGTCTGCGAGGGGGAAGCGTGGGAAAATGCCCGCTTCCGCATCGACATTTAACTAACGTTTCCGTGACGCGACGTGAATCCCTTTAGAGACGGTGTCTCTCCGGCCGCAGCAAAGGGAGGATGTCGGTTGTTGCTGAGACCCCGCTGAGCTACGAGTAGCTCCCCGGCTGGTCCCCGGCCTCCAGATCAGGCGGCGTGGGTGGCGACATTGGCAGGAAGCAGAACACCCTTTTCTCCCGGATCAGTTTCTTGGTTCCCACGTTGTACGGCTTTTCCATTTGGTCGAACGTAAATATTTTCCTCTGGTTCTTCTCTAAGGATTTTCATGCCAGTGACCTTGTGCACCTGGCTTCAGTTAAAAAAAAAAAAAATTCCGGCCTCAGCTGGGCACCGTCCTCCGCGATTCGCCCGCAGTGTCGCCTTTCAGCTTCAGGACGACCCATGAGGGAAAGACTCATTAACCCTGTCTTTTGGATGAGAAAGTCGGGGCTCAGAGTGGGTGAAGTAACTCCATCGGGGTGACAGGGGTGGTCAGAACTCGTAAAGCATGCCCGTCCGCTTCCCAAAGCCGGTGTCCCTTAGCCCCGCCCCTCCGAAGGACACAGCCACAGCTGGTGGGACCAGACAGGCACACGAACGTGCTTCGAGGAGCACGGCAGCCCAGGATGAGCGTGATTCCGGCAACACGATGGCGTCGACCCGAACGTCCACGCCGCCCCCGGCAACGCCATCCTCTCTGGCAGCATCCAGCCCCGTGGGTTGCTCTGCCAGCCTGATGCCTCTTCCTAATAATCGCGCTCGCCGAGAAAGCGCAACCCCCAGGAGCAATTAATTATTGACAGAGCATGTGAATTAGAGATAAAAGGAAAGCCGTTTTTCCTCTACCCAGGCGACAGTAAATAAATTTAATTATGGCGGGGAAGCTAAGGGATCTCCGTCTGTATTAAGTTTCATTAGCTGAGGCATTTAAAAGCATGTCATCTTAACAAAGAGGTCCTGTGTAATCCTAAATGTTCCACTTTGGTGTGAGGCAGGGGAGTGCACGGACTTGACGGAGCACGCGGTGGCAGGTGGCCTGCCGTACACAGCGTGTTGTACGGGTTCGTCGCCAGCTGACTTTGCTCTGCGTGAGCCCATAGCAACTGACTGTATAAGGGGACCCTGAGCCTCACTTGATCACTGGTAGCCCTGCCATATTTGGATTGGGGGCCAAATGGCATCGAAGTGCTTCAGCATCTCGAAGCTCCCAGATGACACAGGCCACTCTGAAGGTGTATGTGGATGGAGAGGTGGCTTTGGAGGAGCAGCCTTGGGAAGGGAAGCAAGGGGACCTGGTCCCAGTGCAGGGGTCTGTCACAGGCTCGTTGGGCAGCTGTAGGGGCAAGGGAAGGAGAAATCCCATTTGTAGAACCGAAGCTGTGCTAGAGACTGTCACACTGTGTGTCGTTTTAGTCCGCTGAACGTGAGTTAAGTGTCAGGATTTTACAGTGAGGACAATAAGACGGGGTGCGACTCGACTTGCCGAGGTCACGAAGCCTGTCCCTGGGCTTCCAGTTCCTCACTGGCACAGTGAGGCACAACGAGGAGTCAGCAGACTTGTCCTCAGAGGGCCAGACAGTAAGTGCATTTGGCTTTGCGTGTCCTACGGCCTTGTCACAACCACTGGCCCCCGCCATGCTGAAGAGGCACCAGGGCAACGCACCCGGCACCGCGTGTGGCTGTGTTCCAGCGAACGCTGATTTACAGTCACTGAAACTTGAATTTTGTGTAATATTCATGCATCGCAAAGTGTTCTTATTACTATTATTATGTTTTTTCCCCAACCATTTAAAATTAAAAATCATTCTTAGCTGCAGGCATTACAAAAACCAGAGATGGATAGCAGCCTGCCAAGCCCTGGACCAGACAATCTCCGAGGTTTTGTTGATCTCAAACATTTCCTGAAATATCTTTGATTTAATAAGCTCTCACACGTGCCAGGTTCTGTGCTGAATGCTTTACGAGCATCATCTCTCTTAATCCTTATACAACGGCGTGAAGTAGGGGCTGTTATCATCTCCATTTCCGAGATTACGAAACTAATACATAGAGAAATTAAGAGCATATCCAGCTTGCACGTGACTGGTCAGGGATAGAGCAGCAGTTTAAACGCGGGTGTGGAAGGTGCCCAACCTCAGCCGCCCGCTAAGCCCCAGGCGGCTTTCGGGCTAAGACCACGGTCAGAGCTCCAGCAGGACGTGGGGCCGAGAGGACGTCCCCACAGAGAATACCACTGGACTCTACTAGGCGGCGCCCTCCTCGGCTATTCACATCACACATTTCCTGTAAAAAACAAAACAAAACAAAAACAAAAACAATATTTCCGGATAGGGATAACCCGGTCTCTCCTCTCTCCTCCTCTTGCAGAAGTGTGATGCCCAAGACTCTGGATGGGCAGATAACCATGGAGAAGACGCCGAGCTACTTCGTGACCGGCGAGGCCCCGAAGCGCATCCACTCCATGGCCAAGGACACCAGGCTGATCGTCGTGGTGCGGAACCCCGTGACCCGCGCCATCTCCGACTACACGCAGACGCTGTCCAAGAAGCCCGAGATCCCCACCTTCGAGGTGCTGGCCTTCAAGAACCGGACGCTGGGGCTGATCGACGCATCCTGGAGCGCCATCCGCATCGGGCTGTACGCGCTGCACCTGGAGAGCTGGCTGCGCTACTTCCCGCTGGCCCAGATCCACTTCGTGAGCGGCGAGCGGCTCATCGTGGACCCCGCCGGCGAGATGGCCGCGGTACAGGACTTCCTCGGCCTCACGCGCCTCGTGACCGAGAAGCACTTCTACTTCAACAAGACCAAGGGGTTCCCCTGCCTCAAGAAGCCGGAAGACAGCAGCGCCCCGAGGTGCCTGGGCAAGAGCAAGGGTCGGACTCACCCGCGCATCGACCCGGACGTGATCCGGAGGCTGCGCAAGTTCTACAAGCCTTTCAACACCATGTTCTACCAGATGACTGGCCAGGACTTCCAGTGGGAGCAGGAAGAGGGTGACAAGTGAGGCTGGTGTGGGGGGCTGGCGAGCGCGTAGCTGAGGAGACCCCTTACCGAGTCCTGGACCCCGGGGTCTGCCGCCTCGGCCTTGCAGAGTGCCCAGCCCCTCGTCCGTGTCCTGCCGGGATCGCTCCCAACGCTGCGGCGGGGGAGAGACCCCGTGGGATGCTTCTGGGCCGCCGGAGCCCACCGCTGGTTCTGGTCCTCTCCTAGTTAACCGGGCCCGAAGACGGGGTTGGATGGCTGTCCCGGTCAGAGGCATAGCCGTGGATGTTTGTCCACAGCATGAAAACAAGGTCTACCTTTGGGGTTCCCACCCTACTTCGGGGAGCCCGACTTCCAGCCCCGGACCAGACCCAGGCCCTGGCCATACAGCCCCTGCTTTGGCACCCCTCCAGAATGACAGCAGTGCCCTGGGACTCCCGGGGACCAAGGTCCTCACTCTGAGGTGTCTCCCATCTTCCTCAAGTTCTCGTCCCATAACCCTTCGGCTCCCCCTCCTCGTCTCACGAAGGGAGGGGCGTGCACGGGCCTCACCCCGCAAAGCTCACCCGGGAAGCCTTCCTGCATGGGGGTGGGGTCTCCGTCTTCATGAGCGCCCCAATGGTGGAGACGCCGAGCTCCTGCCCTCACGGGGGCCATGGGGCCACCCGCCAGGCCGTGCCACGGCCGCTGCGTTCCGAGCAGCTCCGGAGCCAGCGTTCTGGGGGGAGTCTCCAGACCCGCAGACCCCTCCCCAAGCACTGCAGTTCCAACACAAGCTTTTTGGGTGGGCTCTGCCCCTTAGGGTCCCCAGGGGGGCAGGGACCAGGAAGTCGGCATGTCTTAGTGAAGAGTGACCCCTAGCCACGCAGTCATCGGGGTCGGCCGCCATCCTTCTGTTCTCCCCGCTCCCGCCCGCCTGGTCATCTCACGCTTCCTTTGCTCCATTCGGAGGCGGCTCATCCTGGGGCCGTGACAAGAGGGATGACTCCCCGCGTCAGACCCAGGTTACGGGGTGGGGGAGGGCAAGGGCTGCCTGCCGACACCCCGTGAAGGGCTGCGGGCTGAAGTGTTCCTTCTCGTTAGCTCGGTTCGATTCAGATGCAGCCTTTGGCACATGGCGCTGCCCAGAGCCCTCCGAACCCGGGACCCGCTCTGGGGAGCGGAGGGCGTGCGCCTGGGGGAGCCGACGCCGCTCACTGCTACGAAACTGTCACTCCCTCCGCTGAATGGACCTGTGTCGTTATAAAGCTTAATGCAACCCGACTCACGCGTTTCGATGGCGTGTTTGTCCCGGTCGCCAGGGTTCGATGGCTGCCTTGGGGGAACGTGCTCACTTCTGGGGGCTCGGGAAGGGGTGACGTCAAAGCCGGTTGCAGGAAAGCTTCCACGATGGTGTTCTTCTAGGTCTGAGTGGCCGTCACCCCACCCGCCCTCGTCTCCGATGTCCTGAGGGGACACACGCTGACCGTGCCCCCGACCACACTCGCTGCATGCCCCCTTCCCACCCCCACGCCCCGCTGTCTGCCTGGCCCCTCGGCTCGGAGCATCGAGACCTTGCGTGCTGCTTAAAGAGGAAACTAGTATGTGTGTCCTCGCATGAGAGGCCAATCCATTTTCAATATGGTCAGCTGACGGCAAAAAGCCATCCTCACCTGGGAAATAAGAGTGGGGAACCCCTTAGAGCATGGATCCCCTCGTGCCAGCATCCTCTGGGGAAGCAGACGCGGGTGGACGCTCGCAGTTCTGAGACGAGCCTCTTCTCTGTGGCGTCGGCTCTGGCTTGACGCCGGGCTGGGCGGGGGCCCCTGGGCCGCCCTCTTCAGCGGGCGTGATTTCTGACCCCACAAAGCTAGGCCGCCCGCCCGGACGCGGGGCGGCAGCCCTTCGGCCCTGTCTGGCCCGGGCGCCGCAGCGCGGAGGGTTGAATTTCCCTTCGGGTTCCATTAGCCAAGCAGAACCCGTGTTTGGTTTTCCGTTCCCCGCCCCCTCCCCAGGAACGGACGAGCCGCAGCTCAGCAGAGGCTGCGTGTGGTCCAGGATGGGGGTGCTTCACCCTTCCCAGAGGTGCCACCCGCCCGTGCCCGTGCAGAGGCTGCGTGTGGTCCAGAATGGGGGGGGCTTCGCCCTTCCCAGAGGTGCCACCCGCCCATGCCCACGTGCCTTTGCCGGCGTCATTCTGCGCCCGAGGCCCGCGGGACCCGCAGCTGGCCGCGCAGACCCACCAGCCCCCGCTCGGCCCCAGCAGCAGCAGAAGCGCTCGGCGGCTCCGCTGACCTTGGGGCCATGGAAACCATGACCAGCGGGTGGCAAAGATGTGCCTGCTCGTGGGGACGCCCTGTACCCCCAGGTGGCTGGCAGACTGAAGTGAGCTTCGGGAGAGCGGGGCCCGCCCCGTCCCTCATCCCTTGGAGCACTCGTCCCAGCCTCTCTCAAACCCCGAGCTCCTCGGTTCTTCCAGGTTCTCACCTTTCCTGCCCCCTCCCACCTGCCCGCCTGCACCCGCCTCGCCCACCGGCGTAAGCAGCCACCTCACAACGTTCAGAAGAAAGGCAGGCGGGCTCGTCCTGGCCTCTGTGTCCCGGACACGGCATTCGCCACCGGAACCTTAGTCTTCACACCTCTAAGCCTGGCGCATGCAACCCGGACCAGCCAACCCCGAGAGTTCCTGAGGTGGCCGACATGAGTCAGTGGGTGGGACGACGTTTGGAAACAAAGTGCCTTGGTGACACAGGGGACAGCAATGCAGGCGATGGTGCTGCTGCTGCTGAAGAAGATGGAGGAGGGGGGAGGAGGAGGAGGGAGGGGAGG